AAGTTAGATTCTATCAAATCTACGGCCTGGTTAACGGTTTCCTCAATAATAGATTTTGATTTCGTTATAGGCGGTTTATTAATTCTAACTCTGAACGGAGTTGTACAGACGGATGCAACGTGCCCATATCCTTGACAATTGTAACACTGAATTATTGGGTTAAGTTTGGAGAGATCTCTCTGTGATTTCTGGCCCTTAGGATCGACTCTAGATTGGGAATAACTAGGGTTAAATTGACTCGGAGGTTGACTAGAGGTAGTGGCACGAGAAGGCTGGGAGGAATGAGTTCGAAAATCCTGACTCCTATGAGATTGGTGGAATTTGGCTTTATCTAGATCTTGAACTAAGGCGTAAGCTCTCTCAAGGGTGTCTACTCCTCGAGCAAAGAGTTTGGTTTGGAGTTCACTTCTCAATCCGGCTTTAAACTTTGACAAAACTTTCATTGGTGCCTCTTGCTCAATGGTGCTGCATCGAGTAAACAATTCATCAAATTGAGCAACGTACTCTTTTGCAGATTTGGTTCACTGAGTAAGACAATGCCACTTATCTAGCAATCCATAAATAAACGATGGCGGGAGATATTTCTGTTTCAGTTCGTCGGCTATTTCTCGCCAAGTAAAAATTGGTAACTCACCTCTAATATACCTTATCATTTCAAAATTGGACCAATATTGACAGGCGGGTCCAGTGAGCTTCATTGTGGCAAACTTGACTTTCTGGGATTCCGTCAGGATGTACCAATCGAAGTAGCGACCCATGCTCTTCAGCCAGTCAAAGAAAGTTTCTGGATCGAGCTTACCATTAAAGGCTGGTGGATCAGGCACAGGTTGAGGTGGGGTTCGGTGAACGATGTACCCAAGACCTGGTGGGTATCCATAGCCTTGACCTCGTGGCGGAGTTGTAACCTGCGTTTCTTCTAACATAGCACGTCTCTCGTTGGTGTTATTCAGGGTCTCGCGGGTAGCTCTGCTCTCATGGGTTAAGTTACTTATTTGTCTATTTAACTCGGCGATTTGCTTAAGAATTTCGGAGAATTCGGGATTTGCACTACCTGACATACTAGACTCACTAATTGATCCACTTGACTCGCCTAATCGATAGGGTAGACCTGTACGAGTGGGCATGTACTAACAACTAGATGATATGAATGGGTGCACAACAAATTTTTTTTTCTTAATAAAGACTTAAAAAAAAAATCCTAACCTAGAACCATTCTCTGATACCAAAAATGATGCGAAACGAAACAGGGGGTCTATTGGAATCAGTGATTTAATTTGAACAACGCACCGTTTCGCCAAAAATCATGATATTCAGTAGGAAATTAAATAAAACAGTTAATACGATAGATGGGTTTTAACAAGATTTGCAACAATAGTTATGAACAACTCCAATCTCGATCTATTTAACTGCAGTATTTATTATCGTTGCGCAAGTTCAAAAATTAATATCAAAATTAACAGTCACATGCTCAGTTCTCTCAACTCACAAAAATAGATTAAGTAGTGAATATATGATAATAGTTTAGAGATTTAATATGCATGCAATTAACTGACAATTATGAGATTAACAGAAAATTACTGAGTTGGGAGTTTACTATCTAAAATGCTGAAAGAAATCCAAGACCCGTTAGCTTCTATAGTGAAGCCCAAACACACACATCACCATTAAGAATTTCAGCAGTCTGACCAAAACTAAATCAGATCCAAATGAAGTAAAGAAGATCCGATCCCAGAGAAACAGATCCAATGGACTTCGTCGTTGTTCTTCGACTTAAGGGAAAGGAGCGACGACTGTTGAGCAGCGACGATCAGCGAGGAGGCGGCGGTTGTTGGGACTGCTCGGAGACAGGGGCGTCGGCGTCGGCTAGGGAGTCGAGGAGATCGAAGGCGGTGACATGGTTGCCCGAAGAGAGATGGGTTTGAGATTAAAGACGAGGAGCAGGATGGCGCATCCTTTCTCTTCTACCAAAACCTGATCGGTGTCGACGATGTTGCCCTTGATTTGCGAGCGGCCATGGCTTCTTGCTGATTGAAAGCTTAAGGTTCTTTTTTTGTTGTTTTTTTTGACGTGGGGAAGACAGAGGAATTTTTGGCGGCTGGGAGAAAAGAGGAGAAAGGGAATATTGGTCTAGGGTTTCACATCCAAGACCTAGGTTTCACACCAAAAGTCAATTAACTCAAATTTTCATTTTTCAATATTCAATAATTTCATAAGTCTCATACAACCTTATTATAAAGAAAACTACAACGTGCACACAACGTGCAAACAAAATGGAAACAAATAAAATTCCCTCAAATCACTCAACTACCAAATTAAAACCTAATTCGAAATTCAAATCTAAGTTGTAACCTGCGTTTCTTCTAACCTAGCACGTCTCTCGTTGGTGTTATTCAGGGTCTCGCGGGTAGCTCTGCTCTCATGGGTTAAGTTACTTATTTGTCTATTTAACTCGGCGATTTGCTTAAGAATTTCGGAGAATTCGGGATTTGCACTACCTGACATACTAGACTCACTAATTGATCCACTTGACTCGCCTAATCGATAGGGTAGACCTGTACGAGTGGGCATGTACTAACAACTAGATGATATGAATGGGTGCACAACAAATTTTTTTTTCTTAATAAAGACTTAAAAAAAAAATCCTAACCTAGAACCATTCTCTGATACCAAAAATGATGCGAAACGAAACAGGGGGTCTATTGGAATCAGTGATTTAATTTGAACAACGCACCGTTTCGCCAAAAATCATGATATTCAGTAGGAAATTAAATAAAACAGTTAATACGATAGATGAGTTTTAACAAGATTTGCAACAATAGTTATGAACAACTCCAATCTCGATCTATTTAACTGCAGTATTTATTATCGTTGCGCAAGTTCAAAAATTAATATCAAAATTAACAGTCACATGCTCAGTTCTCTCAACTCACAAAAATAGATTAAGCAGTGAATATATGATAATAGTTTAGAGATTTAATATGCATGCAATTAACTGACAATTATGAGATTAACAGAAAATTACTGAGTTGGGAGTTTACTATCTAAAATGCTGAAAGAAATCCAAGACCCGTTAGCTTCTATAGTGAAGCCCAAACACACACATCACCATTAAGAATTTCAGCAGTCTGACCAAAACTAAATCAGATCCAAATGAAGTAAAGAAGATCCGATCCCAGAGAAACAGATCCAATGGACTTCGTCGTTGTTCTTCGACTTAAGGGAAAGGAGCGACGACTGTTGAGCAGCGACGATCAGCGAGGAGGCGGCGGTTGTTGGGACTGCTCGGAGACAGGGGCGTCGGCGTCGGCTAGGGAGTCGAGGAGATCGAAGGCGGTGACATGGTTGCCCGAAGAGAGATGGGTTTGAGATTAAAGACGAGGAGCAGGATGGCGCATCCTTTCTCTTCTACCAAAACCTGATCGGTGTCGACGATGTTGCCCTTGATTTGGGAGCGGCCATGGCTTCTTGCCGATTGAAAGCTGAAGGTTTTTTTTTTTTGACGTGGTGAAGACAGGAATGTTTGGCGGCCGGGAGAAAAGAGGAGAAAAGGAATATTGGTCTAGGATTTCACACCCAAGACCTAGGTTTCACACCAAAAGTCAATTAACTCAAATTTTCATTTTTCAATATTCAATAATTTCATAAGTCTCATACAACCTTATTATAAAGAAAACTACTACGTGCACACAACGTGCAAACAAAATGGAAACAAATAAAATTCCCTCAAATCACTCAACTACCAAATTAAAACCTAATTCGAAATTCAAATCTAAACCACCAAATTTAAATTACAATTCAAAATTCAAATTTGAAAAAAATCAATTAATCAGATATTGCCATTCTTGTCCTCATCACACTCACCTAGGTCTAATCATTACCTAGGCTGCTCGTTTAATTCTCAAAAACGGCTAGATGGGCATGGATCTTTTATATGAACTTACCATGTCAAAAAGGGGTTTATTGCCTACTTAAACATAACAAGTAAAGAGAAAGGGCCAGGTTAAAATGAATCCAATCAGAATTTGATCCAAGTTCATCCTAGATGAAGTGGTCAGAATAGGATTTTGAATCTTTGAAAAAAGTTCTTCTTTCAGTGTTAAAAGAACACCTATGTGCCACTTGGGTGGCGGCCTAGGTGCATAGATGCGAGGCACTGTGTCAGCACCTAGAAGCACCTGGCCCTTTCTAAAACATTGACTCCAATATTGCTTCTGTAGAAAATTGAGAAATTGGTCTTATTTAGAAACGAGTAATACGAATTAATAGATTTATCTTGCCTAGTGTAAACTATTGTAGAAAGTTCTAATACCCACAAATTATTTGCTTCCAGAAGATGGGAAAAAGTTGAACCTGAGATGTGGTAAAAAAAAAAAAAACCTACGCTACAGATGTCCGGGCAAGTGTAATTAAACAATGATTCAGTGAAAAAGAACATAGCATATAAAAAAGGCAATAGGAGAGGCGGTCTAATCTGATAGTGTAATTAAACAATGATTCAAATCATGGGATGGCGATGAGCATCGGAGGAAGAAAGGATGGAGAAAAGAAAAGAAATATGAAAATTAAAAATAAGAAATAAATATGAGAGTTCTAGTTTTTACCAAGTAGCTCTAGCCTAAAACTTGGGATAATTTGAATGACTAGAACTCTCACTTTTATACAAAGAAATTGAAAAAAGTGGGATAATTGTTTACCATTATCCTAGTTCTAATTTTGTTCTAGTTCTAATTGACTAACACTATAAAATTTTATCTCACAAATTATCCTACTAGTTTTTAGTTCTACTTGACTAATCCCCCCATGCAACAATTTAGCTTAACTCATTTTCATGTGACCACTTCGTCAGATATTTGTTATCAGCCTGTTAACAACAACTGTTGTGTCCTTGTAACGGTTGCAGGAAAGTTATACTTTATGAAATTCTTGTGCCTTGTGTGGAATCAATCTTAACCATTCATCTGTTTTTCTCTCTTCTACCTCAAATTTATCGCTCTTGTTAGGAAGCGAGGGGCATACTCTAGAAGAAGCAAAATCTATTAATCTGTCACTGAGTGCATTAGGCAAATGCATTAATGCATTAGCTGAGAATAGTTCACATGTTCCTTTTCGTGATTCGAAGCTTACGAGGTTGCTTCGAGATTCATTTGGAGGTATGATTCTAAAAGCCTACAAGATATTTTTGCTGCTGCTTCAGAAAGTCCATGTGCAGTTTTTATATTTCTTGTTTATGTCATTAATTCTGTCAAAAGTATTGCATTCAAAACCAAAGATTTTGGTTATACAAAATTTGTTAACATGTTGATTATGATACTATTATCCAAAATTTTGAAGGGTGACATATTCGTTCTCTAAAAATATGAACTTTGGGAAAATTGTTCCAATGCTCTTCATATGAAAGTTTTATGGCCTTATTTTTTCTTTCCTTGATACCAGTATACCTAACAATATTCATCAAGTTTACATAGTGAGAAGATTTTTGATCTCCCTGTTACTTCTTCTTGACTAGTTGTATATCCACAATAACCGAAATTGAGTACCTGTAATTTCATTATGCATTAAATATTGAATTTTTGATTAATTTGTTAATTTCTTTATGACCTAGACACGTCATTTGTAATTAATATGATAGAGATGGTGATTTAGTCATATAATATGCAAGTATATTGTTAACTTACAGTTGTATTACTGTCACTAGGTTCATGATCGTACATATGTGTTTAACATTGTTATGAGAATCGGGGTAGAATATATTGTTACGAGATGGGTTTTAAAACCATCATGACTGCCGCAATACTCACACATCAAATCATTCAAAATATAGAGCAAAAATAAAGAGAAAGAAGATAGAAGGAAAGAACAAGGGGTAAGACCGTAAGAGGAAATAGAAAGATATTTTTGCATAAGAGGTCAAATAAAATAAGCCTTAAAAATAGATTTCACAGAATTGTAGGATCTGTATTGATGAAATTATGAGAGATAATTGGAAGGGGCTTGATGGATGCTAAAGATATGGACGAACCAGTATCTTTCCAATTTTCTAACAATTTTTTATGTCTTTAGTGAAAAGTGAAAAGCTTGGAAAAATTTCTCATTCTTTTCTCCCTCCTCCCACAAAGAGTTCCTTTTATTTATCTATTCTCATGTAGATAGTATGTGAACGTCAAACTTGTCTTGTAAGTGCAAGGATGTACAGGAGAAGCAATATCACAGATAATTAGAGTTATACTTAGATTGGTATTAAATTTTGTGATCTTTCCTACTTGGTAGAGGCCTAGATGGTTTGAAAGGTCTTATTCAAGCATACAGGAAGGTCCAGGTACTTATTCTTTTCCTCTTATATGAACGAAAATAAAGATTGTAATTCTGTTTTTTTCTACATTTTGCACTTATTTCTGTGAAATCAATTCTTTTTGAACCTAAAATCAATCATCATCGTTGATCTATCTGAACCAGTTGACTTCACAAGTATTCTGAAACAGAAATATAAACTTTTATGAATGATATATTTTATATATTTCTCTTAATAAAGTTTATATTTCAGTTTGACTAAACTCTGCACCTAATTTCTGCAAAATTCAGGTCAAATTTTAAGTTATTGATCATTTTCATAGATCTGCCTGAACTCATTGCAACATGAGTATTTTAAATCTGAATAAAATTTCCTTATACTTTATGCTATACAATTTTAATATGAACGCTTGTTAGTTGTTAGTCATGTCTTCTGTACAGTCATTTTTGCTATAAGTGTTAAACTATACATGACCTACTGGAGAGTGTCAGAATATAGAAATATATCGCTCAACCCTCACTGCGATTGTATAGTTTTCGTATTTTGTCAAGGACTTTAAGATGGTAGCAGGACCACCCATGTTCAATTTCAGGTTTTAGCCTACAGAAGGTATATCAACTTCTAGGGAGTGTTAAGAGTATAATAAACCCGACTCTAGGGAATTTAAGAATATAAAGGATTTATTCCCTATTCACAGAAATTTGGAGTTTTTGTTTTGTGGAAAAGACATCAAGAGTCATCTGTTTTTTGTTTATGAGAGGTAACTGTAGGTGTTTTTTAACCTTTGTATTCGTGCTTATCAGCTTTGTTTTTTTGGGGGGGGTTGTGGGAAAGCAACCCAATTAAGCAAATCACGTGTCGTTAATTTTTCAACTAACTATTCGGTCATACTTGATTCGGTAGTTCATTTAACACTAAACAAATAATATTTAGTATTCGAGTTCATTAACAAATAGAATTTAACCAGGTATATATTTGATTCGTTTCTTTATAAAATATTCGTTTAAATTTTTATTGCTTATAGTTTGTATTATTATGCATATGATGTTATATCTTCAACCCACTTATATTTTCTACTTAAGTTCTATATACTCATTTTGAGGGCCCTAAAGAATCCTAAATCAGTTTTCTAGATAAAATATTCGAATTAAATGTATATACATCATAACTATAAAAAAATAATTTTCATTTATGAATTTAAATACTATTTAAAAATTAAATTCTTTAGCAGAATGAATATACTTTGATATTTGATAAATATTCATGAATACTCATGAATATTTATCAAATATCAAGTATTCAAGTTCGAATTTGAGAAATTCCAGACATGGATAATCTTGTTCGAGTTCGAATTCGATTATATTAAACGAATACAAATACGAACATCTTAGTATTCGATTCGATTCATTCGTTTACCGCCCCTACTTATAGCGCTCATGTGATCTCATGATATACTTATTTCATGTGTGATTTTGCTGACATGTTCAACTGTCCTTCTGATTCCATGGTTTTTCAATTCCACATATTTTCTAGGAGTGCTTGTACATATTTTCACGTTATTGAAGTTAGTTTGAGCCTTGTATCAGAAACATTACAAACTCTTTAATTTTATAAAATGTCACCATAAAATCCACAAAATAAAATCATATTGTGGGGGACTATAGTTTACAGTTTAAGTTAAACCTTGGTTTGTTTGATATCTTTGGAGTTTTAACAGGTACCGCAAGAACATCATTGATTGTGACAATTGGCCCATCTCCACGTCATCGGGGGGAAACCTCAAGTACCATAATGTTTGGGCAAAGAGTAAGGTCTTTTTCTCATAAAATCTTTAATCTCATTTAGAAGGTTATTGTGGATGCGGTAAATGCTGTGTACGTGCAATCTTCATGTACTTAATCATGTTTTCTCCTATTTTAATTGCAGAGCCTATATGATTAATTGAAAGTGCAGTGGATCTTAAAGTTATTAGACACTCGTAAACTTATTCTTTTCAATTCTACTTGTTCATAGGTGTATGCCTAAATTCTTTATAGTCGTTATGGAAATAGTTAAAGGACTATAGTAGTTTTTTACCATCCTGACACAAACATTATTTGAAAATATAATAGAATTCCAGCATGACCCTGCAGTACGGTCAAAGTTTAATGCAATCCATGTCCAAAAATGCCATATTAAATATGTATATATTAACTCACAGAATCATAAAGTTGATAGTATAGTCTACATAGAATATCGTCATTGAGGAAAGACATGATGGCAATGCTTATCCCATACAGAACCATAAGGTCACAGAATCATAAAGTTGATAGCATAGTCTATGTAGAATACCGTCATTGTCATTGAGGAAAGACACGATGGTAATGCTTATCTCATACGTAACCGTAAGGTCTTGATTCTATTATTCACAAAGCGTTGTGAGAATTCTATTGGTTAGGATTAGGATATTGTTTTAGTTCTATACATAACGATTGCACTTTTTCATTTGAGGAGGGATAGAAGAATGTTGTGAGAAATCTGCATGTGTCTGGCAACTAATATTAGACATGTGAGGTGTTCGGGTGTAAAGCCCATCATTTGTATCTTTTTCTCAAATGAAGAGTGCAAATTTCAGGGATGGGGAGCGGCGTGAGGGCTTCGATCCGAAGGCGAGGAATAGTCAACGACTTGGTATAGTGATGTCATAATACATGATGAACAGTAAGAAGGTTATAGTTCATGTGGTGAACAGTGCACGGGTTACTACTCATCCGATTATGGAGTTTTATGGTTTCTTTGAATATTTGGCTAGGGTTGAATGTTGTGGATTATTTTAGAAGGATTGATCAAAAAAAGTGAAAGGAGACAGGATTGACCTCACTTTAGAGACCTCATACCTAAGGGCTTTACATCCCGTAGTGACAAATCACATTCCAAAGAACACCTCACATGCTCAAGAGAGAATTCTCAAACTCAATTTTTTTAGTCATCAATGTCTATTCCTCATGAAGGATTACATTTTTTATTTATAAAAAAGAAAACATCTAAACAGTTAAGAAAACAAATCAAAACCTAACAAACTAAAGGTTGCAATCAAATAAAATCCTAGTTAAAGTAAAAAGAGATCTCAAAATCAAATCCAAAAGAATTCATAACTAAGAAGAAAATTACATAGAATAAAATAAAATCCTACAAAAAAAAGGAAAGATTCTAATAAATCCCAATAACATCACATGGAGGATCCACGATCATCCTGCATCAAATCTACCCTTGTTTGAGAAAACTTGACCTCGAGTTTTAAATGGGAGAGTGTGATGATTTTGATTGATGGAAAATATTCTTCCATGAACTGTAAGATCTTTAGAAGTATTTGCATAATTCAATGTCAAGTAGGCGGTGGAGGGTTTGGGATAACAAACTCAACAATCAAATTACTCTAGACTGGAAGTTTGCACTGCATATTGATTTTATATGCGGGTTATAGGCTTGACTTGATTTCGAGCTCTGGGGTTGATTTGAGCTTTGGATTTTGGATCAACATTTGACTCGATGTTTGATTTGAGTCCAAGTTCTTGCTCTCCTTCAAGTTCGAGTTAGGTTTGGGCTCTAAATCAATTTTCCACTCTGGTTCCACTTCTCGTTCGAGTTCAAGCTCAGGCTCTTGATTATTTTTTAGATCTTGCCCTGCTTTCTCTTCTAACTCAAGTTGAGGCTTCAGATTTGGATTGAACTCAAGTCTTGATTGACGATCCACATCTGGCTTGAGTTGAGGAAGTTGTGTTGGCTTTACTTCACATTTTAAAGAGAACAATATCTTCTAGATGTTGGACTAGAGTATCTCCTCTCCAAAAGAGCTGACATAGTTGTCTTGAAACGAATGTTTGAATGATTATAATTTCTATACCACCGTTTTCCTGCCTCTCTTTAGCTTACACTCAGCATATAAATATATATTTAGTTCTGACATATCATAGATAGAAAATATATCATCTATACTGAAAATCCAAACTTCAAATTCATAGGACTCATCATATCCATCAAATCCATAAAAGTAGACTAAGGAACCAAATTTAAGTGGATTAAAATCACGCCCTTGTGAAAGAGGTAGCGGTATTTTACCCCTAATAATTATGGATTCTTCTGCTCTTATACCAAATGATGTGGAGCGACACGATGACTTCGATCTGGAGGCGAGGAGTCATCAACGACTTGGCGGAATGATGTCATAATCCATGATGAATATTTAGAAGGTTGCAGTTCATTTGACGAATAGTGCATGAGTTACTGTTCACCTTTGAACAGTACTCTGATTCTGGGGTTTCTGGGTTTCTTCGGGTATTTGCTTGGGGTTGGATGTTGTGGATTCTTTTAGAGGGATTGTTCAAGAAAGATGATGAAAGGAGACAAGATTTTGATAGATACTAGGCCTCACGCCTAGAGGCCTCACACCCAAGGGCTTTAAACTCCAAATTAGCAAATCACATGGTAAAGAACACCTCACATGCTCAAGAGAGAATTATCAAACTCAAATTTTTTATTCATCAATGTCTATTTTTCATGAAGGTTTACATCTCTTATTTATAAAAAAGCATCTAAACAATTAAGGAAACAAATCAAAACCAAACAAAACTAAAAGATGTAATCAAATAAAATCCTAGCTAAGGTAGAAAGAGATCTCGAAATCAAATCCTAAAGAAATCCTAATTAAAAAGAAGATTATATAGAATAAAATAAAATCCTACAAAAAAAGGAAAGGTTCTATTGTTTAAATAAATTCTAATCCCATCACGTGGAAGGTCCACAATCATCCTGCATCATTCAGTTATTTCCTTTTTATTTTATTTTTATTTTATTCAAATAATCCTTGTCAACAAATCACTATGATTCTGTTCCCCATCAAGAAGTGCATGACGAGTGCTCTATATAATTGAGCACAGGTCTAAATAAATGTATGCATATATTCAAGGAGTACCTGGATCTGTCATCTGATATAGGTACAAGTGTTAGGCACAAGTTCAATTTCATGATGGAAGTGTCCATGAGCATAGTATTCACTCTTATTCCTCAAGAAATATTTTATACCCTTTTTTGAATGAAAACATGAAATTCAAAGCCACAACTGAAGCAATAAGCAATTAAATTTCACATGACTTGCTCATATAGACAATAAGCTATTTCAAAGTGGGTTTTATTATTAAGAGTATTAAAACTAAAACAATGCAATGTAATATAGATAATTTAAAGCATCCAAGCAAGCTTTGTACATGGAAAAGTTGATAAGCTACTGAATGAAAGTAAATTGACTGTTCATGTGAATTACAAATCTTCTTTTTGGAATAAACGATAATGATGAATGAAAAGATCAAAGAAATTAAAATGCGGTATTTTAAAAAAACTAATAAGAGCTATGTACTGGATGAAACCTCACCAATTCCAAATTTTAATAAGTATGCACTGTATGATACCTGTATTAATATGTTAGCTTTATAACGTTAAATTGATAGAACTAGTGCAGAAAGGATGCCTATTATCATGTTAGCCAAAACCAATTTTATATTCTTGAAATTCTGTCATATATGTATATTTTACTGTAACATTTAGAAGTGGCATACAATACAGATAATAAAGTCAAGTAGTATACAATTGACAATAATAAAATCAACTAAAAGATTTGATTTTTAAATTTCAATATAGAAGAAAAAGATTGATTACCCTTGGCTAAAAGGATGATCTTATTCTACCTCAACACTTCTTATAATTTCATACTGAAAAAAAAGCATATGGAGGATAGAAAACTTAAAAAAGGAAAATAAATACTTTAGAGAAGGGCAACATTACTACAGGACCTACTTATGTTAAAGTATCATTTTTTCCAGAAAATACTTCACTCAATTAAGTCTTAGATGAATTAGTTAACAACTAATAGAGAGTTTTCTGTTCGCGATACAGCATAAAGTGTATTTGTCTAGTGACAATATGGAAAACTTTTGCTATTTGATGTGGAGTAGCAAAGATATCATCTGGTCCTATGTTCATTTATATAAATGATCAATGAAATTGAACTTGCTTTGATCATATTCATTTCAGGGAAAATCATATAATTTTAAATAAAATTCTTTTGGCTTTTATAAGTTAACCTTATTATTCAGTATGAAGTACTTATCTAGGAGTTATTTGCCTTCGTCATCCTACTTTCAGGGTTAATTTTTTATTTTGGCAAAGATAATATTCGGCAGTTATAGCCTATAGGTAAACTTTCTCAATCAATTGGAAATGCTACACTAGTAGTTAACTGTTCCAGGCAGACTATATAAGCATGTTTGTCACTTGATAGTGTTAATTTTTCATTCTATGAAACATTATTTTATTAGCATTATTAGTGTATATGTGAATGCTGCTTATTCAAGTAGGTAAAGTGATGAGTATTTTTTGTGGGTTCATGGCAGGCGATGAAAGTGGAAAACATGGTAAAACTAAAGGAGGAATTTGACTACAAAAGCCTATGCAGAAGGCTTGACATTGAAATAGATAAGCTACTTGCTGAAAATGAACGACAGAGGAAAGATTTTGAAGATGAGATTAAGAGAATACAATTAGAAGCACAATGTCGTATTGCTGCGGCCGATAAAAACTATATGAATTCTCTAGAGGTTTGTTTCTCAATTTATTACCTTATTTATACACATAAGCATTTAGTCTATTGAAATGCAATCTACTTCGGAATGTGTACTCTGTTTCATGACATGATATCCTTTTCTTTTTTTTATAATATGAAATGTACTTCTCTGGGCTTGGGACAAGTGTTCTTCAGGGCATGCTTTCCATTTATTTTTTCGTATCAGTGAAACTAAACCTAGCCTCTGTCAGTACTTTAGAAAGTTAAAATATAAACAGATGGTCTTATAAGTGACTATTTTTCCCAGTTGATTATCCGGTCTTTCGTGTATGCCAGGACAACAACAAATAAAAAATCTTTCATCTTTGATAACCTACTTCTTCAGACTTGTGCTAACATTTAGCTAGAAGCCTCTAGTGTTTGTTGTTAATGTGCTGACACCGTATTTTCTCTGTTGCAATTTGTGTTCATCTCTGGTTTCAAGTGATATAACAATTCCATCTCACACTCGTTTAATTAATATCAAATTTATTATGGCATTTTTACAAAGAAATTACTATGTTCAGTTGTAAGAAGTGTCATCCTATAACTTATTTATTAAAAAATATTCTCCTTGCCAGCTAATAATGGGAAGCTGCAGGTATTTGTATTAAAATTTTCTTATTCCTTAAATGGTTTTCTGAGCCATAGCGTTCCCATCCCAAGTTTTAACTGATACTTAAATATAATACTTAAATATCGTTTTTGTTAGAGCTCACATTGATGCCCGAAGTCAGAGGTGGTTCTGAACTTACAATCACATGGTCATCTACCAAATGTTTTCCAGAAAGTGTGGACCAGTTTTATCATCTTCCAAATGCCAGACAAATTATATGACCATCAGATCTCTTTGCTAATAAATACCCAGCAGAATTTGGTCTTATTTCGAACTAATAAAATAATTTCAGATCCTTGGGATAAATTACATCTCTGAATGGAGATAGAGTTTGACATGAAACACCGTATGTTCAAAATAGCAGTCTCACATGTTAGAAATTCTATAGAATGCCTGCAAGCTCCTCACCAATTCAAAAACACATATATTCCCACCAAAAGGAATTTCAGTTCTTATCATAAGACCAAATTTTAGATCCAACAACAACACTATAGTCTATCATTTGGAGTCGGCTACATGAATCCTATTCTTCTGTTTTGTTCTATTAAGGATCATCTCCTTCATTAAGTTAACTATTATCATGTCCTTATTATTGTGACAGAGGATAAACTATATCCCTCAACACTCACATTGGAGTTTTGGTGTAGTGGAAGGGTCCTTTGACGTTGTATTAGAGCAACCTAGGTCAAGTTCCCTACTGGCCACAAATCTGAACAAGACTTTACTTTTTTTAAAAATGCCATTGTGTAAGTCCATGATTCGGCCTGTAAAAACAACGTTGAACCTGTGGGGGCATGTTAGATGGTAAAACTATAACCCTCCACCTTCTCCACAACTTTGTGGTTTTAGTGTAGTGGACGAATCTGTCACGCACCGGTTCCAAAATGTAATAACTTGGAACGTTACTCGGCCGGTAATGCAACCATACAGTACATTCACGCCTCTAGATCATCCTGTATACAAATACACCAAAGAGCATGCAATCAAGATAATAAAAGGAATGCATAGATAAAGAAATATATAAAATTTTCAGAGTTCTATGACAAGTCCACAACCATCTAAAGAGAAAGGAAAAATACACCATAGTCTGGAGAGCCACATGTGGCTAAAGAAAAGCTTAAACCAAATAACTACCTAAATCAACTGAACTGGAAAACTGATAAAAAGAACGGTGATCACTGTCGATGAGCATGCCCCTCGAAATACTCTCGGTCCTGCGAAGAAAAAACAGTCCCCGAGTCTGGGGCACGCAAACCCCAGAGGAGTCAGAAAACTCCCAACAAGCATGTAAAATGAGGAAATTGTGCGCGTGTAAGTGTAAGTGTCATATAAAGAAAAAAGATGAATTCTAAATCAACAGTGATGAAAAAAATGTTTAATCAAGAGATCAAGATAATGTCCATCATTAAACATACAAGCGTATCATTATTATTTTAGATGTTATTTGAATTAGAGAAGAATATTTTCATGTAAATAAATCGGTTCCTCGTAAACCGTCCCTTATCCACCTCATTCGATACCATCCTCGGGGCAAACCTGCTGAGCTTGACAAATTCTGCTGCATACTCATCTACAGTATTAGCTCTTTGTCTCAGTATAACAAACTGCTTCTGCATCTCAAGACGAGCTGTCTTCGGGAAAAATGCCTCTAGGAAACTCTCCTGGAATGTCTCCCATGAAATCGGCCTATGCAGCTTCTCCTCCTCTGCGTCCCACCAGGTCCTGGCCACATTAATAAGCTGTAGCTGCACAATAGCCACTCGGTCTTCATCTGGTATCTTAGCTATCCTTAATAAGCGGTCCATGGTCTGCAACCACATCTCGGCCTCATATCCGCCTTCAGTCTCAGCAAAGTGTTGCAGGTTGAGTTTTCGAAAATCGGACACATTGTTTGGTCTTGCAACCTGCCGCTGCTCATCCTTCTGATGATTATGAGCTACCAGGTCCCTAATCGCTTCTGCAAGATCAGCCTGATCGACTTGGTGACCCTCAGGGACAACTGGAGTAGGGGGTCGACGTTAACCAAGTTCTTTTTGATCTACCTGTAATCCTCGTTGCTCCATTAACTATAATCTTATTACTTCTCCTAGATGGTGGCATGGTGCATTTACTAGCGTACAATGTTCATGACCAAGCCATCTCTATCGCTTCTCTCTCATATGATCCTCTCATTTGATCCTCAAAAGGAGCAATCTTAACCTCTTATGAGTGGACTTATTTTATCACAAGGCCATAGTAACATTCTCGTTTCTGCTACACACTTTTTTTTCATTTTTTTAAATTGCCCAACATATTGATAGTATTCCGCAGTCACATAAGACTAGAAACACTCGTTCATTTTAACCATCTTGATTTGACTTGATGAACCACATCATTCTCAATCTCGGAATATTAATCTTAAATAACAAAAGTGATCACTATTAGGTATTTCTTTATCGTCATTATATACTGTACGCTCATTCTAGTGATTCTAAATCTAGTGATTCTAAATCCTTTCCGATTCCAGAGCTGTGGTATAACATAGAATAAAAAGATGGGAACACTACATGAGAGTATCTTTAAGTGTTACTGGTAAATAAGATTCTTAACTACAAATTACTTTAATGATTTATAAAGGCTGGCATATCAGCTGTGAAGAATTATTTTGTATACCTTCAGTAAGGTGAATATGCTTTTTAATGACTGAATGAAGGATAAGTGAAATTATTTTCTAACTGTAACCTGATGACTACTGCTACTAGTTTACTCTTTTGGGTACTTAAAACTGTTGCTAGCAGTCAGTTTACTTTTAAGTCTAGATGATTTCATGATAGATCTTACTCAAAAAGAATCTTTCCATATTTTTCATTGCCTATTTCACTTTTCAGTTCTGGTATTGCTCTTAGATTAACCTTCAAACTCCTACTGGTTTTTAAACTGCTTTAGTCATTTTATTTTGTTTATTTAGAATGAGAGAATCAAGTACCAAAAAGATTACATGGATTCCATCAAGAAACTTGAAGAGAAGTGGATGATGAATCAACAAATTAGTAATAATGGGAATTTGAGAGCTGGTAATGACGAACAATGTTTGGAGGAACCCTGCAGCAGAGAGGTTTGTAGCAAATTGTCCGATAACTTTATTGTAGAGGATAATATCCTGCAAAATTTAATACACGTGTTTCTTTTTTATAATCACACATCAATGTTGAATAAATTATTGCGGAGTTATTAAAAATGTTTTATCAGTAGCAGAATATTTTTATATTTATCTCTAGCGAATTGGTGAGCTAAACAGCAAGATTCAAAATGCCTTAAGATTTACCAATGAACAAGATAGTTTGCATCTTCACTGTTTGTTCATGCCTCTCCTGACCTTGATTTTTAAACTGACTAGTTTAGATTTCAATGCTTTTGGCTCTTGAATCTCTATCAACATTTTTTGGGTAAGTCGTTGACTGATTGCACATATTTACGCAAGAAAAGAAAGGTTTCCATAGTTTTTTGTGAAACATGTTTAATACCTACATTTATAAGATCGGTTTCATTGGAAGTTTTAATAAACTCCATTATGGAGTTTGGCCTGGTTTTTGCATGTACTGTGATCTATCTCTCTGTATTTTATAAACTACATGTTGAATCCTTATCACTAAGAGGAAGCGAGGACATTTTAAAGCTGGCATGGTCTCTTTGGTGTTTGACAATTCCGTGTAAACACTGTCAGACTATTTTTTTGGAAGCTTGAAATGAGCCCCTTTGCATAGTTGGAATTAGTTGAACATCAATTTAAATGCCCCTTAAACAAAAGATTTAGCCTATACCATTGATTAATCATTAATATTTCTCGAAGGCTATGTTTTATAGGTCTGGCACAAGTGGCTGAAAGTGCACAAGTGATCTTGTGCAAAGGCACAATTTAAATTATGTATAGAATCTATACCATGGTCAAGGCATAACTAAAGTTAGCACATTGTACTTACTTTAATTTGAGATTCAGTCACATAATTGTTGTTGTGGCTTCAAAATTGAAAACCCACGTTGTTAATCTTGATCTACATGCATGCACATATTAAGATGACATAAAAAGTCATGGCGGGGGTGGATGCGATAGAAAGAAGAAAACACACAATAATTTAAACCAAATAATCAACGTGATGTTAGTATTGCTCATCATTAGCATTGTTATAATATTTTTAATAGTAGTAGCAAAGCCAAGCACATATTTAAGACACTGTCTCTTGTATAGATGAACTGCTCCTGGCTAGGTAGCAGAGCTTTTTTTCATTGTCCATTTCATCTTAACCCCTAGATCTGATGCGGTCCAAAACATGTAACTGTATGGACCCTTCGATGAAGCTTAATCAAAGGTTCGTTGTGGTAAACATCTCCATTTCCATTTAAATGGTGAACCAAGTCTGATCCATATGTGAACTCAAGCCCATGAGCTATGAGCAAAGGTGCAATCCTGGCAGCAATTACAATCCTAAAGAGCTAAAATATGCTACACACGATGACAATTGATAGCTTTCAGACTAATTTCATGTGGATAGGAACCTACTTTACAACAAGTTGTTGCCAAAATATTACATTGATGCATATTACATTCTTTCTTTCCCTTAATATATTGATTAGCCCATCAATATTTCTTCTCTATCAGCAATTAAAGATCCTTGTCTGCCTTATCACAGACCGGAACATATTTCGTTTTTTAATTGTTTAGTTGTTTATACCACTGGAAAGTGAAATATTTTCACACAGTCTATTTTCGGTCCTTTAGAGAAATGTGTTTCTCAGCTTCAAGGATAGTAGTAATACATGACTTTGTTTATGAAGTGAACATATTTGGCTAAACATTGTTTAAGTTAGTTGTGATGGAAGGATAGTAGTAATACATGACTTTTTTTATGAAGTGAACATATTTGGCTACTTGTGATGGAAAGGTTTTTCTACAGTGACATGTATCTGATCTATCATCACTTCCACAGAGGTTGCTATACAGTTAATAAAAGCTACAGCTTATTTTTTCTGTTTCAAGGGATAATAAGGTATCAAGAGAGGTCGACAAATTGCAAGCTTTGGAAGGGAATATTTTAGTCCTAATGTTGTACTTCCATATCTATAATTATCCTTTCTAATTCTGGTTCAAAGTACGAAATGAAGCTGAATAAGCATATGAAGCAAGTACCAGTCAAGTGTTCTCTCGTTTAACTATATAAATTGGCATGTAGAATTATGCATGATAACCATTTGGCATAATTATCAAGCTTCTGATCCCTGCTTCTGTTTGTTGATCTAAAAATTCAAATTTTTTTATTCCTATTTCCATTCTGGTGTGTAGTCCCTGATTGCATCAAGCTCAGCTGAAATCAATGAGGCCAGTCAGAAGGAACTCATTGAGAACGAAAGGCAGTCTGATGAAGATGAGGTTTCCCATCTTAAGAGTCAAGTGTTGCACTGGAAAAGGATGGAGGTATGGGTAATCTGTAGTAGGATACAAAGGTCAATATGCATCTGATTTAGTATTACTTTCATTTCATTTATCTTCAATATAAGCTGCTGACTAGTGGCATGTACTCTGTAACACGATTAATAGGAAGTTGCAAATTCTGAGGTCATAAAGCTTCGCAAGATGCTAGAGAATGAAGCCGATCAGAAAGAGAAGCTAGAAGAAGAAATATCAGAACTGAAAAGTCATTTGCTGCAGTTGAGCTTCGAAGCTGATGAGGTATCTAAAAAGAACCTGACTTATGTTTCACGTTTCTATTTAAGTTCATCTGCATTCGTACCATTTCTTCCCGTGTTAATTTCATCGTGGTTTCTCAAACATCATTTCGTTTTTTTCTTGGATGTAATTATCTGCCTCTGGGGCGCCATATTTAGTGTCTATAGTTCTAATGTTCTACTTCCATAACCTTTAGACTCGGAGGAGTCTTGACAGAAGTGAACCTGGGAAAATCTTTACTGGGTTAGACTCTCTTGTGTCCCAAACTAGGAATTCGCAACTTAGAGACTCGGGAAACGAACCGAAGGCATCAGTTGCTAAACTCTTTGAACAAGGTAGAACAGCTATGTATTAGTCTTGTAGGTCTGATATCAGAAACATAAAATGTTCTTCTTTTTGCTATGTTGCTCTAACAACTCTTATACCTGACAGTGGGTTTGCAAAAAATTTTGTCATTGCTTGAATCTGAGGATGTTGATGTACGTATTCATGCAGTGAAAGTGGTCGCCAACCTTGCGGCAGAAGGTGAGGCTGATTTGGCTTGATATTTTATGACATAATTCTATTTGGTTTCTTGTTTGAGTAATCATTCATGATTTAGTTGTGTATAATCAGAGAACAATCTAGGCCTAAAATCAGATAGTATACTTAAAATCATATCTGTAGGATATCTGAACTGTGTTGTGCATTGCAGAGTTTGAAACCATTATTGCAAAGTAAGGGTTTATCTATTGCACATGATGATTTCTAAATATCATTTTCTTTTATTTTCCTTTTCCCTGCTGAGCCATAGGAGATAGTTATTATAGGGGAAAAGGAGAACGGTATGCCTGCAATATAACGATAATGCAAAGTAGTATAAAAGTAAAGAAATATTGTGCAGAACGAGAACAACAAGAGCATAATACAATATTGTAGGTGGTTCAGTTTACAAAGGTTACATCCACTGGCAAATGCAATTAGTTACTTATAGGCTACAAATGACAATGAGAAGAAATGTACCACATAGATAGTTGATGCTTAGTGCGGTACCTTGTCACGAACAAACAAGCAATCAAAAACAACCACTGCAAACACGAGAGCATTTGATGCTGTTCGGAAGTGTGCCTATGTTCATGGCAGAAGAGAATTACTTTTCTAGCTTAAAGATGATCTCTCTCTTGGACAAACCTCACAAGAGTTCTTTCTTCTCTGCTCTTTGATCTAGTTTTTCTCTCTTTCAACTGTCTCTTTTGTTGATGGAAATACCCACATTTTATAGAGTTTACTCTGTATGAAGTTTTCATTAAACCCAAACTGAATTCCAGTACAAAACGAATTCATCCAATCTTTGACATACAACCTTTAACTAAAGTTTTGATGTGGGTGTAGGATTTCAACCTACCTAGTGCTTTCTCCAAACGTTGAATTTAGTCCTTTCCAACCACTCCCCTAGACTGATTTGACTTAATGTACAATAAAGGAATAATGAGATCTCCAATGGAATGATGAGGGTGCATTGTATCATGTTAGGTGTTAGTAGTTATTTAGCTTTGGGTATTTGGATGCTTCGGTTAATACTCATACCCACTTATGTGTACACTAACATTTGTAAATCTGCCCTCAAAAGCATGTCAGAGCCTACTTCTTGATTCTAGCGATTTCTATCTTTCTAGAGCTCGTGGCCGTCGAGGGGTTATTGCCATTAGCACCATTTCCATGCTTCTCCTTGGCAGCTTTGAGGATAACTTTGGCTTCTACATCACGGATGATTTAATCTGTCTCTTTACCAATATTACAAAACCTTAACCACAAAAAATTAAACTTCAGCCCCCACATTGTTGTTTATTGTAAGTTCAAACTGCAAGTAAGCTTTCAAAGGATTTGTTACCAAAACAAGATTATTTGAAAAAGAAGTTAAGATTTAATATAGATTGATTACAGCTTAAGTTCCAATACTTGGTTTTTTTAGCACATAATTATTACCTTTTCATGTTGGTTCTTAAGATGTTGATGTGATCTTGATTAGCTCTTGAACCAATCTCTTCATATGGTGTGATCATTGAGTAGAAAGTTGAGGATTCTTGACTCCTTTTAACCTCCCTTAGATACTGCAATTTAATCTCAATTCTTTCGGACTGTCTTCTAGATTTGCTTTGACCTATGTGGCTATACCTGAACACAACACTGAAATAGAATGCTAGGCACCAAGGTATTACTGATTGGGCTCAAATGGTCATAATGAGCTGGTATTCATACCATTAACACATAAGGATGACACGGCAGTAACATCACCAAGTTTTTTGTGACTGACATGGTAGAAAGCTGAAATGTTAAATGTCTGGGTAGCACGGTAGAAGCTGAAACTATTTAGTGTCTGGGTCCACCGGACTTATAGCCGCTACTTTAGAACAAAAGCCAAAAAAAAAGGCAAATAGTTTTGAAAAGGAAACTGTGATTTCCCCCTTCTTTTTCATTCCTAGGGTCCTTCAGGGAAATTCAAATCCCTTTCTTTTCCTTTTAATCCCTTATTTCACTGAATTATCATCATACAACTGATTTTAATAAATTAATATCTTTTTCTATTTTTAAATGACAAAAAGTTTAGTATGCCTTTTGTGGCAATTCAAACAGTTATAGGGAGTTTGGTCCTGAAAATTTTGTTTCCTTGAGAAACCAGACGGTGTTTTCAAACAGACACTAAAGTACAAGCAATGTCCCTTCACCTGTCTTAATAAAAGTATTACCATTTTAATGATTTACGGTATTGCTTGAAACAAGTTTTAGCTCTATTTCAATAGTAAATTATCTTAAGTACGAAATAGAAGTTTCTTCTACTTGAAAAAATATGTATTTTCAGTCTGCATACTTGTTTCAATTTCATGCTTTTCCCTTGTTTTCTTTAATTGCATAGAAGTCTTAATTTAACGAAGCCAGCCATACGGCTCTCTTTAGTTTTTTCAACGGAATAGTATGTATTCTATTTCAGAAGCAAATCAGCAGAAGATTGTAGAAGCTGGGGGTCTAACTTCACTACTGATGCTTCTCAGAAGCTCTGAGGATGAAACTATACGAAGAGTAGCTGCTGGAGCAATTGCCAATCTTGCAATGAACGGTATGATGCCACTAATTTAATGCTGGAACCAGTTTTTATCTTGAGTTTCATCATTTGTTTCTGGCATGAATCTTATTTAAAATTCAAGGAGTTTCTTATTTTTTTTGGATCTAATGTATAAATACTTCCTCTTTTTTATTTTCAACATCATTGTAGAGACGAATCAAGAGCTTATAATGTCTCAAGATGGTATTAGTTTATTATCAGCAACTGCAGCTGATGCTGAAGACCCACAAACACTACGTATGGTCGCTGGAGCTATTGCTAACTTATGCGGCAATGGTATACATCTATATAGCTATTTTCTTTAATATGTGCAGGATGAAATATTGAATGATAATATAAACATTGTTTTCAGTTATTGATAGCATAAACGGGATAAAAAGAAATATCTAGTAGATATTGCATCACCCCACCCACCATAAAAAAAATGAGAGATGAGAGTTTTTTAAGAGGTGTAGGGACTTTTGCAATTAGATCCACCTCATTGAACCTGATTAGTTTGATAGATTAACAGTACAACTGTTCTAAATTATTAACCTATTTCCGCACCAAAAGACGCAGTAAGGAACAGCTTCAAAAAAAGTTTAAAACTTTTAATAAGATCGACTGTCTGACTAATTTACTGATTATTAAAGTCATTTACACTCACCAGAATCTGAAGTTATATATTTTTATTCTACTTGAACCTTGCAGGCTGATGATCCTGTCTATGGGCTCAATACTGGTTTTTACACAAGTTTTTTCCTATTTAATTTGCACTTGGGGGGTTATTGGTTGGGATATTTTGGGGGATAATGAGATAATTTTGGGGATTCTATTTCATAGTGTTATTCATTGGGACAATGGAACAAGGATAATAACTTTTTGTGTTATTGGTTTTTTGGAACAAACCACTTGGGATAAAATTACCCTACTCTTATACAAAAATTTTGTCCCAATAGTAAAAATTTACCCCATCCTCCATATTGGAACAATGTTGTTCCACTATTTTGGGGGATAATGAGATAATTTTGGGGATTCTATTTCATAGTGTTATTCATTGGGACAATGGAACAAGGATAATAACTTTTTGTGTTATTGGTTTTTTGGAACAAACCACTTGGGATAAAATTACCCTACTCTTATACAAAAATTTTGTCCCAATAGTAAAAATTTACCCCATCCTCCATATTGGAACAATGTTGTTCCACTTTGAAGGCAATTGGGATAATTTTAAAATATTTTTTTGTATTACCTAACTAATACATGCAATTATTATATTATAAATATATGACATGATATATAAAATATAACATATATTAATATTTTAATGACAATTTAATAACATATATTAATAATATTATATAATAGTAATTATAGTATAACGTTATTTATTATAATATTATATAATATTGTAATAACATATATTAATAATATTATATAATAACATATATTAATATTTTAATAACATATATTAATAATATTATGTAATATAAATACTATTATGTAATATATTATACTATAACATGATACCTTTTAATATATATTATTGTAATTATCATGTAATATATATATGTTATATTATATTTTAATTTTAATATAAAATTTTAAAATATTACATTGAATAAAGTAAAATATTATAATATTTTATAAAGTACATTATATCCTATGATACTATATTATAATATATTAAATTAAATAATATATTATTAAAATATTATATTAAATATATTATTCATATATTATATTAATTATTATATAATGTAGCATACTAATATAATGTTAATTAGTAATTATTGTATAACATATTATATTTTTGTATAAATAAAATAATGTATTATATTAAATATTATATTATTAAAATATTATATTAAATATATTGATATTATATTATATTAATTATTATATATAGTATAGCATGCTAATATAATATAATATAATACAATATAATAATTAATAATAGTAATTTGTAAGTATAGTACAATATATTATATTTTAATATAAAGTAAAATAATATTTATATTATAATAATATACTAAATAATATACTAAACCAATTGGATATGTTAATTTAGAAGTAATTAATAGATAAAATTATATTTTAATAAGGTGCCACATCATCCATTATCCCACATGAATTGTCAAATCAAAAGCTCAAATTATCCCATTATCCCAGTTTATCCCACTTTACTCCACTGAAAATATCCCAAAGGGGCAAAATTGTTCCATTGGAACAATGTTCCCACTTGGCCCCAATTTGTCCCAACCAATAACCCCCCCTTAAATATATGTTCCGCTGGGTGTGAGTTGGGTGGGTCCTATACCATGCTTCCATTCCTTTTTGACCACTAAACTCAAATGTTTTAAATGAAGGAAAAAATTATCTTGGATGTTAAATGGCATGCCAGGCTCCCTGAACTAGAGAGCAGGATCTGAGTAGTCCTGTTTCATGGATATATAAACCAAACTTCTTTTGAGGACTTAATGATATGATTAATCATTTTATGCTTGGACAAATTGCAAACCCACTGCAGAAATTGAAATTCAGGTGAAATTGAGGCCTTGTTTGGCAGGAGTTAGAATGTAGGTGTTATAAATTGTTCGGCTTTTCAAATAGAGGTGATATGAGGTCACATATCAATGGTATTGGGGCATATCAAGTGTTAAGCTAATTTCAAGTAAGACTTGGTGTAATAACACTTACGCTTTCGCCCAAAAGCAAGTGTAAAATGCTTATTGAAAACATTCTATGAATGTTCTCAATCCTAACGAATTGTAACTTCCTATAACTCGAGAAATTGTGGGTGTTTTGTTATAGTTAGCAGGTGTTAGTGACAATACCTACTTATTTTTGTTATGAAATGCAGTGTTTAACAATTGCCAATACACGTGAAAACTTAACTGTAATAAGACTTCCCACGAGAACTACTTATACTAAGTCAAAAACATGAAAACCTCCTTTGTTGTAACTGTGCCTTGGCTCTGGCTCAAGCACTCACACTAATGGAGGGGTGATAAAGGGTAAAGGCTATGGTAAAAGGATCAGTTCCTATAGGATATAAGTTTAGACTGGTAGCATGTTAAATATTTGTCGACTCAATACGCCAGTGAATACTTCCTCTCTTGAATCATATTGGTTCCAAGATTTTTCGTGAATATCCATTGAAGTTATAATTTTTTTGAATATCCATTGAAGTTATGGCGTATTTTGTAACTTACAATTTGTAGACATTGACAATGCTTTTATGTATTGTCATGGGCAATGTAGTGCAAGATGCTGGTTGAAAGTAGAATTGGAACCAGAATGAAAATAAGTACCAGGGAACACATGCCTTAGATCTCATATTTTTCAAGAATATTAATAACCAAAATTAAATTTTCACTAATCAGAACTGAAAAGAACACACAATTGTTGGGATGTTTGTATCTTAAACAAAAGGTCCCAACTCGAATAGAATATCTGTTGATTCTAAGAAAAGAATATTAGAATCCTAATCAAACTAAATTTCTAGATAAAAACTTCTAAACAAACTTGACTTCTAATAGCCTAAGTTAAAAGGAGATTTAAATACTATACTAATAACACTCTAACTACTACGTAAACTCTTATGTACTTCACAACTACTAGGTTTTTAGGTCTTCAATGGATCTCATTATAAATAAATCTGCACAAACTCTACCTCTTGAAAAGGAGATGCCGTATTCTACTTGAGCACAGTTGCCATGAATATAGATCTAGTAACTCTGCAGTTCCAAGATGGAAAACAATGTTCTAGAAAGCGATGGCACTTTTAGGTCCGAGACCAAGCGCCAGACACCTAGACAACTAGGCGGGCACTTAAGCGGCACTTATTCGTTTTTAGCACCAAGGGGAAAGATTCTTTTTGAAGATTCAAAATCTTATCCTCATCGTTTACTGAGGATGAGCTTGAATGGATATTATATATTCCCACATTGTCACAAATGAAATTCATTCGTGTTCTTCCAAGAGGTTTTGTAAGGATATCTGCAAGCTGATGCTCTTAAGGTATGTGATTGGCTCTAATGATCCCTTTTCCATCTTCTCACGAATAAAATGGCAATTGATCTCTATGTGTTTTCTCTTCTCATGGAGTATGGTGTTCTTAATTATGTGGATGTCAGCCTTATTATCTCCATACAAGCTCATAGGAACCCAGGAGGAAAACCAAATTCCATTAGTATATCTCTAATCCAGATTAGCTTAAAAGTAAGATTCACCATATATCTCAATATTCAGACTCCGTTGTAGAATGAGAAATTGAACTCTACTTCTTACTCTTTCAGGAAACTAGATTTCCTCCAAGAAATGCACAATATCCTAAGGTCGATCATCTGTCTGTTGAAAATCTGCCCAATTTGCATTCGAGAATGCTGCAACTCTCTTGTGTCCACTATCTGAATAGAGAACTCCCTTTCTTGGAGTTTTTTTAAGATACCTAAGAATCCTCTTTGCAGCCTCTTGTGTGTGGTATCCTAGGTGCTTAGACAGACAAACTAACAACACTGACAAGAAATGCAATATTTGGTCTAGTAACTGTCAAGCAGTTCAGCTTCCTTACCAATCTCCTTTATTTCTTAGCATCTTCCAATGAGTCCTCTTGATTTAGTAGAAGTTTGTCTTGACATCCATATGAGAGTCAATACCCTTGCATGCTGATGTCCCGGCATTCAACAACCTGTCCAGCACATATTATCTCTAAGATAAGAGAATTCTCTTACTCTATCTGGTCACCTGTAAACCCAGAAAATACTTGAAGGACCTAAGATCCTTAGTCTGAAACTATTGTTGTAGATATTTCTTCAAGTCTATGATGCCTTGTATATCATCTCCAATGATCACAATATTGTCAACATATACAGCTAGAAGGATTCGCTTCTCACCATGAAATCTTCAGAAAACTGAGTGGCTTTTTTGAGCTCACAACTCTTGAACTACAGTTGCAAAACGTTCGAATGAGGCCCTTGTAGCTTGCTTCAAGCTATAGAGGGATTTTTTCAACTTGGAAACCTTCCCATACTCTCCCTTGAGCAACAAACCCTAGTGGTTGCTCTACGTAAACCTCTTCATCAAGAATGTCATAAGGAATGCATTCTTAACGTTCAACTGATGTAGTGACCAATAATAGTGAGCGGCAAGTGAAATAAGAATGCGGGCAAACGTCATTTTTGCTATAGGAGAGAGGTATTATTGTAATCTAATCAATATATTCACCCTTCGCAACTAATCGAGTTCTGAGGCGAGCTAGAGATTCATTTGGATTCACCTTGACTGCATAAACCATTTGCACCCTATAGTTTTTTTCCTTGGCACTATTGGAACAAGATCCCAAGTCTCAATTTGCTCTAAAGCTATCATGTCTTCCTACATTGTCGCCGTCCAACCTGGGGTAGATAGGGCTTTCGACACATTCTTAGGAATTGAGTGACAGAGGTAGAAATGAAATAGCGATGTGACAGAGGTAGAAATGAAATAGCGATGCAATAGAATATATAGAAGAACAAGATCTCTTATCCTTTCTAAGGACAATTGGAAGATCTTCAGTAGTAGTAGCACTTGACTATATGACAACATTCTGACTAACTTGTAAGTCAAGACCTTAGTTAGAGGTGGACTCCAACACATGTTTTGGATTAGTAGGTTGTGTATAAACTTGGACTGGCTCAACAAACTTAGATGGTGGATCAGCTTGTACAACATGCTCGGGATGAGCATTGACAGTTAGTTAAACTTAGATGGTGGATCAGCTTGTACAACATGCTCGGGATGAGCATTGACAGTTAGTTATCTCACAAACAATAAGAAAATTATAATCATCCTAAGCATATGAGGGTTTATCAAAAGTAACATGTCCTAATTTATTTTTAAAGAAGGTAAACATCTGGTGAAGCAATATAACGGTCTAGAGGGGGGCAACAACACTTGTATCCTTTTTGTGTTCTAGAATACATAATAAAGACCGCGAAGAGATTTTGAATCTAATTTCGTCCTTTGAGGACTGTGGTTATGAATGAAACATAGAGAATCGAAGATCTTAGGGGGTAAAGGAAAATGCTCACTATCAGGGTATAAAAGAGACAGGGGTTTTGTTTTGTTAAAAGAAATGAGGGCAATCTATTAATTAGGTAACATGTATTCAAAAATAGAATTTCCCAAATAATGTTTAGAACCCCTCGATGAAACAATAATGTTCAAACAATCTCTAGTGAGTGTCTCTGCGCTCAACTACCCTATTTTATTGAGGTGTATAAACGCATAATTATTGGTGTGTAGTTCTATTTTTTCTAAAAATTTTGTGAGGGAATTGTCAAAAAGTTCTTTAGCATTGTCTGTCCTTAAGACATTGATAGAAATATGAATTTGATTTTTAATCTGAACATAAAAACTCTAAAAACAAAATAGTTTAGAACAAGTTTTCAATAAATAGACTCATGTCATGCGAGAATAATCATCCCCAAAGCTAATGAAATATCTAAAATCAAGTTTTGACAAAACAATATATGGACCCCATACATTTGAATGCACCAAATCAAAAAGGTTACTAACCCTATTATTGAGATGACTAGGTTAGGACACTCGCTGCTATTTTCCTAGTTGACATTACTCACATTCCAAAGACTTAACATAACTCAGATATGAAGTTATTGTTTTGAGAATATAAAGAGGGAGCTGACGATAATGATTGAAGGCTGACGTAGAGCTGATACACCCAATCTGTTCTGGACTAAAGTCTAGAACTACATTAAAGGATGATGTGTATATATATGGATGCTTTTTTTTCATGAGTCTGCTAAATTTTTTTTGTTATTTAAAATTAATCCCTCCATTTAGAGGCGGGTTGAAATTGAGAGAATATTTTTGATCTTTATTAGTTTTGGGTGTAACAGTAATTAAACCCATACCCACTCTAACCTAAACGTCGAAGAAACTTCACTAGAGTACAAGTTGGAAAAAGATTATGCAATATTAGACTTGAAAGCTATTGAATTTGAGCTTGATTTTGGTGGATTTTGATGTTGATTGGTTGATAGGTAATTACATGTTTTTGATTAACCACTATCCGTGCTACCATGGTTAACAATTTAGATGGTAAATGTAGCAAAGGGTAATTTCAAACACTTTAAATAATTAGAGACTAATTAGAAAATGGGAGCTTTTTGGGCCTAATTTCAAATAGAAAAGATTTGGGGGGATTAATTTCAAATATGAAAGCTTTGGGTGATTAACTGCAATATAAAATATTTGAGACTTATATGGAAAAGAACTTATAACCGTGCTCTTTGCAAAGATCTCTTGTGTTTCATTTTTTTAATAGATAGTTTTATATTTAAAAAAAGCCAAGTTCACTAATTCAAAGGAGATTCACTGATACTCTACTGATTACCAGATTCACTAATACTCTATTGATTACCATTCTCATTAGATTAAATTCTTGTTTCAAACAAAGATTATGCGACAAAGTATTATCACTGGGACAAGTAAAAAATTTTAGTATTGAGCTATAGGCAACAAAATATCATATATTACTTGATCAGGATACAACTCTTGATAAGCTTGTTTACATGTCACTTCTCCCATCAGAGTACATGTTTATCTTCTCCCATGGACAACATAGTAGGTTAATTGATCCAGATATCAGCGCATTTTAAATGAAATGCGGCTATTTTATTAAAACGGCAATGTGATGAATATGAGCACAATCATCAAGTGCACAATATTTATAGTGATTGACATGGGTCTATTAAACATGACAATGTGGTAATTGAAGATGTATCAGTGTGTAGGAGATTACTATTTTCTTAGCCCTCTCATTCATCATTGAAACTCATTCATCTTTAGAGTAGTCAAAGGATTTTCTTATGGTGAAGGTTCAACAAATCATTAGAGAAGTACGTAGTAGAATGCATACATACATCATTTTGGTTATATGAGAGAAGGTATCAATATAACTTAGCCCATATATCTATAAATATCCCTTCGCAACTAGTCGAACTTTGAGGAGAGTTAGGGAGCCATTTGGATTCCCCTTAACTGTATAGACCTGTTGGCAATTGATAGTTATCTTTCTTGGTGGCAGAGGAACAAGATCTCTAGTCTCATTCTGCTTTAAGTTTCTCTTGCATTGCCGCAGTCCAACTTGGGATTGATAGGGATTCTGACACATTCTTGCAAACTGAGTGAGGGTCCATAGAAAATATAAAAGAATGATATGATGAAGATAATAAAGAGTAAGAGACATAGAGTGCAATGGGATACCTAGAACAAGACCTCTTACCCTTTCGAAGGACAATGGGAACATCATCAGTAGGTGCACCCCAGGACATTTCATAATTGCATCGTAAGGTCTTCACAAGTTTGAATCTGCTCGCCCTATTTTTTAAAAAATTTGCACCCCAATGGCGTGAAGTTTGCTTATATAACCAATAAGTAGTAGCCAATTTGAGCCCGTTTGCATTAAGTAGCCCATTCCATTTGAGTTTAGGTCATAATTATATAACCAATAATTATATTTTTATTTTTTAGGTAAATATTTGCATTAAGTAGCCCGTTTCCATACAACATAGGTGGTCAATGAATATCTCCTAAAAGATGATTCCATGCAAAGAATTTCTTTTATGTTTTATATGTTTATATAAAAGAACTATATTCTTTTATGTTATCATGCAGGAACTGAATCTTGCTTTCCATTGCTTTTGGCAGATAAACTGCAAGGAAGATTGAGAGCTGAAGGTGGCATTAAAGCATTATTAGGAGCTGTTAGATGTAAACATCCTGATGTTCTGGCTCAAGTAGCACGAGGCATTGCAAACTTTGCTAAGTGTGAGTCTAGGGCTTCTACAAATGGTAAGCACTTTTTGCATCTGATTTGTGATTACTGCATTGAGCGCTGCTACGGGGACCCAAAATATGGGACCAAGGGGTGGGACTAGTGATGTGTCCCTCTCCTATTGGATAATGAGTTGGCAATGAGTTGGTCATGCCAACTCATTATCCAATAGAGGAGGGACACATCACTTGTCCCACCCCTTGGTCCCATATTTTGGGTCCTTGAGGCAATAATCTACTGCATTTGGTCCATTGCAAGAAGTCCTTGATGTCTACTGATTTTTTTTGTACTTGCATAGGAGTTGCCATTATGTAGCAGATGAATTTGTGCTCTCACATGTGCATCATCTGAAAAAGTTAACTTATTTTGCATGAGCTTGCATTGGTGACAGTGCTGTCCCCTACAATATTTGTTACTGAAATTTAACGAATAAAGGGAGGAATCAAGAATCCATTCCTTGAAATTTTACTCAACAATAGCACAACACATTACTCACACTTGTTCAGGTGTTGTTTATGGTATGCTAAGATAGTTTCTGACATATCTAGTGTATATTCCTTATATTAACTTCAATTGAAAACATTTGTGACTTGCTTGATTTTCTTCTTAAATAAAAGTTGATGCAGTTCTTATATGCGTTTTAATTTTGTAATTCTTCAAGCTGACATGAGATCTGATTGGCGTGTGCTAGCAAGCATCAGCTTTCACATGGGACTCACTTGGAATTCAGCCTTTTGTAGGATTTAAGCAATAGCTTGGAAATGAGGAAAAAAGTTAATTACTTTCTTTGAGTAAGGGAGAAAGGAAAGGTCGATGATTTTCCATTCTAATGGACCACGGTAACATAGCTCATTCACATGCCTACTGTTTGCGGAAAAAGTTGCTGTATTCATTGCTGCATTCATTACAACTTCGATCGTTACAATGAAACAAAAAGATAGCCTTTTTATAAGACCGGTACACAATGAAAACAAAAGAAATACAACTCCTTTCAAACAAACGCAAGATCTGTTTGTCATCTCTTGCTTGCGTGGGTCTTTGGCCTGTGACGGGGACGTTGATATCCGTGGACCACCGGGCAATCAGATCTGCTCCGAGAAAATCGGGCAGAGCTTCGTCTATCCGCGGAGGGATATAGAAGCAGAACTTCGTCGATCCGCGTGAGATCTAGAAGTTTAAAGCGTCTATCTCGGCTAAGCGAGATATTAGCTCTTCTTAGTATTAACGCCAAGGGCTAATACTAAGGATCGGATGATGAAGGCGCTGATGTAGACCTCTCCTCTTCTTGTTGAAACGCACGGCCACTCTCCACTGCAGCAGGGCTTCGCCAAGGCTCTCCAAAATTCCTCCTCTCCTCAAAAATGAGCCCAAGGGTTGCTATTTATAGGCAAATGGGGGCTTGGGGCGTCTCCACGAATCCGAGACACCCCTGGGGTGTCTCCACAGATCTGAGACACCCTTGGGGTGTCTCCAAGAATCCGAGACACCCTAGGGTGTCTCGGAAATTCCGAGACACCCTTGGGGTGTCTCGGAAATTCCGAGACACCCCTGGGGTGTCTCGGAATTTCCGAGACACCCCTGGGGGTGTTTCGGGATTCCGAGACGTCCGTAGGTTTATTTTGATCGTTTTCCCCGTAGATTCTTCGTACGAACTCGGATTTGAGTGATTCCGGGTGCGTTGGATGCGTGACGAAGAGTTCGATCCGCTCTGATGGTTGGATTGTCTTTAGAGTGGTCGAGGCACGGAGGGCATTGTCCTTTTTGTGAACAGTGCCGGGTTTCCCGATTGGTCCGGGTCTTCGTGATTCCGAAGTCCTATCCGCTCATGTAACTCGTCGATTCACTTCAGTCGTTCGTCGACGTCGATTAGGCTCATGTGGATTGGATGGTGACGTTCATCGTCGCTCGTTAACACTGAACCGGTTGTGGAGAACTATAGGCAATTTTTGATGCCTACAGATACCCCCTCCAAAGTGTTCCTGACTCGTTTCTTTTATAGAAGAGGCTGGAATACTTTGGATGTGATTGATCTGGCCTTCAGTCGGCGTGCGCTGTGTTTATCGCTTGGCCGTCGTCGGAGTCTCGAGTGTGCAGCTGATGAATTGAGTTTGGCTCGTGTCATTGAGTTGACTTTGAACTACCTCCGCCACATTGTGCTGGCTTAGGGTTTCGGATCCCCGTGTGTTGACTTTTTTGTCGCAACGCGTTGACCGGCGTTGACCTAGGGTTACGCGTTGACCGGCGTTAACCCTAGGGTTTCGAATCGCCAAACGTTGACTTTGGTTGTAACGCGTTGACTGGCGTTGACCTAGGGTTACGCGTTGACCGGCATTGACCCTTAGGGCTTCGAATCGTCGAACGTTGACTTTTATTGCAACGCGTTGACCGGCGTTGACCTAGAATTACGCGGTGACCGGCGTTGACTCTAGGGTTTCGAATCGCCATTAACACAGTTTATACTCGTACGTTTGCTGGAGTATACACAGTTTAAGCTCTTAAGGTATTGGAGCATCGCGTTCCCGAATGTTGGGGTTGCAGGACCAACTGTTAAAGTTGATTCATCTACATGTGTGGATTTTGTCCTGAATTTGTTGGGTGCTCAAGTCACGAGACCAACTAGTGGAGTTGATGCGTCAATGACTCGCAGTTATAGAATTTTTGGCAAATCCTCAGCCATCAACGGGTTTGACAAGTCTTTACCGACTACCGTTTGAGTCGGGCTAGCATGCAGATTGTTTAAGTCCGTTCCGCATGTGACGTCGTGCTAAGAGAGTTAACGCTCTTAGTGCTACGATATTGAATACGTAGACTTCGTCTTTGTCACGGGAATAGACTACCCGGCGACGCGTGTTAGGCGTTGACTTTAGGATTTTTGGCTAATCCCCAGCCTTCAACGGATTTGATTAGCCTTTACCGACTACCGTTTGAGTCGGGCTAGCATGCGGATTGTTTAAGTCCGCTCCTATGTGACGTTTAAGCTAAAAGAGTTAACCCTTTTAGTGCTACGATATTGAATACGTAGACTTCGTCTTTCTCACGGGAATAGACTACCCGGCAACGCGTGTTAGGCGTTGACTTTAGGATTTTTGGCTAATCCCCAGCCTTCAACGGATTTGATTAGCCTTTACCGACTACCGTTTGAGTCGGGCTAGTATGCGGATTGTTTAAGTCCGCTCCCATGTAACGTTTTAAGCTAAAAGAGTTAACCCTTTTAGTGCTACGATATTGAATACGTAGACTTCGTCTTTCTCACGGGAATAGACTACCCGGCAACGCGTGTTAGGCGTTGACTTCGAAATTCCCCGTGCATCGAGTGCCCGGATCTGACAATCGTGTCTTTTCTAAAAGCAAAGACAGATTGAGGAACGGGAGAGGAAGAATTTTATATTCTATCTCCTGGCGCTGAAGAGGAAGAATTTTATATTCTATCTCATGGCGCTGAAGAGGAAGAATTTTATATTCTATCTTCGGCTGGAAAGGAAACTCGAGGTGGGATCCCCCACCCCCAGAATCTGGAAGGATGAACTGGGAGTGGGATCTCCACTCCGAGCATCGGAAAGGTCCGAGGAGAGGAAGAATTTTATATTCTATCTCCCGGTGCTGAAGAGGAAGAATTTTATATTCTATCTACAGCTGGAAAGGAAACTCGAGGCGGGATCTCCACCCCCAGAACCCAGAAGGATGAAAGTAAGAGTGGGATCTCCACTCCGAGAATCGGAAAGATTTGAACGACCCTAACTTTTATAGGATTGGTCACTCGATTTGAAAGTGGACCTCTCGTTCATTGGGGGAATCGAGAGGGGATTTTGGCTTTGGCCCTAACTTTTATAGGTTTGACCCAGAAGGAGTTTGAGATGACCCTAACTCGATTTGAAAGTGGACCTCTCGTTCATTGGAGGAATCGAGAGGGGATTTTGGCTTTGGCCCTAACTTTATGAATGTTTGACCAAGCAGGAGTTTGAGACGACCTAACTGTCGGAAGGTTTGATCGCTCGATTTGAAGGTGGACCTCTCGTTCATTGGAGGAATCGAGAGGGGATTTTGGCTTTGGCCCTAACTTTTATAGGTTTGACCAGAACGCAAAGAGAGTGGAATACGGGTAGCAAAGAAAGTGCCAACCCATATTACCACTCAAAGGGAGACTTTAATGTTAGGCGTTTAGGACCTAGCACGTTGAGTCTGAGAAACGCCAATGACTGGCAGATGGAAATGTTGGTGGGTCCACTGTCGTTTGATTTGATCAGCGGATGGTTTGGTGAGGAATCTGACCGGGTTATCCTTAAGAGTATTAGTATAATATCCTCCAGGAACTTCCCGTCAATGGTAGGAAATAGTTTAGACTCGTATACCTATTGGAGTATGTAGAGAGCAGTTTAACCTCATGCACCTGTTGGAGGATTGAGAAACAGTTTATACTCATGTATTCTTTGGAGTGTAAGAAGCAGTTTTATACTCTTATACTTATCGGAGTATTAAGGAGCAGTTTATACTCTTATACTTGTCGGAGTGTGGCCGTTTTCAATTGGCTTACCCTAGCGTTATAACACCGGCTTCAACCAAGGTCTGAATGCTATTCTTTAAAGCAGAGCAAGCCTTGTTGGGATGAAGAATCTTCCTGTGGTACGCGCAGTACGTCGGTTCCGCAGAATCGTCAGCTTCCTCCTGATTCATGATGGGCGGGAGCTTGATTTTGTTGTTTTCGAGAAGGGTCTCGAAGATAGCTGGAACGTCTTCGTCTTTGAACGAGTACTCGTTTTGGAGCGTCTCGTCCGAATTCTCCTGCTGTTCCCAGGACTGCTTGCAGGTGCGTCCCCTTCATCATGAGGTACGAGACTCGAATTCAGAGGGCTGACCATCTGTTGGCTCCTCTCAGCTTTCTTCCTTTTGAGGAACCGTTCGGCCTGTTCTCCGCGTACCTTCAGCTCTTTCCAGGTATTGAGCGGCTCTGTTCCCAAAACGTCCAAGATGTTAATGGAGAGGTTGTTCTGACAAGTCTGCAAGATGAATTCCTCCGTGA